GTGTGTCTGCGTGTGTCTGTGTCTGTGTCTGTGTCTTTGTGTGTGTGTGTCAGTCACTCGGGATGCTCCCCGAATGCCTGCTGCTGGCCCAGCTCCGAGCTGGAGTGTGGATGTGTCTGTGCACAGGTCTAGAGGGTGAGACAGGCTGTGTGGCGGTGTGGGCGAGAATGTGTACGGTAGGACTGTCTGTTGTTGGTTAAACAACCTGTTTCTACTTCCCCAGCTAGAACCCGGCTCCCTAGAGCTAGAGTTTTAGTAATTGTTCATTCTGTTCACACCTCTGGCAGACAGGACCCTAGGAGGCTAGGAACTAATTATGTGCCAAAGAAGCCCCTCCTTGTTCCCCGGAGCAGCACCTGTGTATCCTGCCCCCCCCACCCCCACTCTTTTCCACAGTCAGGTGACCAGAGTCTGAAGGACAGGAAGAGGCAGAGTCTCTGAGGTCCCACAGGCTCAGATACTGATCTGGCGTTACCTGCAGTTCCTATCATCATCCTACACCATAGCTTTTGATTTTCAGGGACCTGGACAGCCATTCTCAACTAGGGGAAGGGAGGGCTTTGTGCTGAGAAAATGCATAGCCGGTATATCATTTTCTATTTGGAAATAAAAAGAAGCCTCTGGTCTTGGCATCATAAAATACAAAAAGGGCATGGGATTTTTATTGTTTTTAATGGGTCATGAATTTTTAAACGTAGAAAAACACCAGCTTGCAATGAGCCAGTTGCAAGCACATCTTTGATGGGTGGATTCCCCGGGGGGTTCCAAGGGGGGGGGGACACTGAGCAGGCGCGTGAGGCCCATCTTCCCGTGCTCCCAAACTACGGTCTGCGTGAAGTCCGTCTTTCTCGACTGTAATCAAACTCAACTCCTAATTTTCTCTAGAGATTGAAATTTGAGTAGGTTTGACTGGGGGTCTAGTTCCCTGGGCCCAATGTAGGGAGGACTGCTTTCTAGAAGGGTTGTCAGAACCCCACCAGCCCACAGCCCCTGCCTCTGCTGCCAGGCCACTGGGTGGAGAGCTCATGGGTTCAGGACGTACTTCTCCCCCCAGGAAAAACTGGGGTACCACTGAGGCCCATCTCTCCCAGCCCAACCTGAGGAGAACCACCCGGCTGACTCCCAAGATAAGAGGAGGTGGTCTCGATAGAGCCGGGACTGACTCCAGAGGCCACTGCCTTCTCCCTCCCTCCACCACCACTGGGGACTCCTTGGGGAGGTGGCTCAGGACCCTTCTCCACTCCTTCATGCTCTAGAAGAGTAGGCCTCCCTTCCACACCTGACCTGGGAGAGGAAGGGCCAACTGACCTTAAAGGTGTGTTTTCGGCTGATGTTGTCCGAAGGCTGCACTGCGGCCACCCGGAAGCTCAGGAGGGGGATGCTGCCCAGGATGCTCTCCTCCTTCTCATCTGTTGGGTAGAGGCACAGGTGAGATGCGCATGCCTGCTGAGTGCGTGTGCACAGAGAGGGGTGGAGTCTATCAGCCCTACCATGATGAACAGCAATATGCCCATGTGGCTCATCTACCACTGGTCAGACCCCGAGGGCCACCACCCTCCAGCACACAGGCTGTGCTCTGCACAACACGGAGAGGCACACTCCCTGCAGACACTGTTCTAGATGCTGGGACTGTAGAGGCAGATGGGAGAGAAGTGCCACCCACCCTCAGGGAGCTTACCTTCTGGGATGCAGGTAGACAAATAAGGAACAGCTAATGTGATGGAGGGTTTGCTATTCATCAGGTACTGTTCTAAGTTAAATGACTTAATGGATTTAACCCTACCCACGATCCAATGAATAGGTACTGCGATTACCCCATTTTATGGGTAAGGAGGTGGAGACACAGAGAGGTTAAGTAATTTGTCCAACGCTACTGAAGTAGAGAGTGGTGGATTGGTCTTTGGACCCAAGAAGTCTGACTCCCAAGCAAGCATTTTTTTTTTAAACTCCACCCCCACCGTGGGGCTCAAACTCACAACCCCAAGATCAAGAGTCTCATGCTAAGCCAGGCAGGCGCCCCTCCCAAGCAAGCATTCTTTTTTTAAAGATTTTATTTATTTATTTAAGAGAGAGAATGAGAGAGAGAGAGCACATGAGAGGGGGGAGGGTCAGAGGGAGAAGCAGACTCCCTGCCGAGCAGGGAGCCCGATGCGGGACTCG